CCATAAAATAAATGGTAATCTTTGACTTAAGTATACTTTAAGAGGTAAGGTTGTAATAGTTTATTCCAGTCTTTTTAAGTTGACGGGTAACAGATTCATTAACCACACCATAGACCAGAAGCACCAGAAGCTGACGTCAGCACGAAGAGAGAAAACCCACCTACCGTTCGCCAGCCCCACAAACCAATGACCCCCACTCCAGTGCATTCACTCTACTCCATTAAAGTTTTGACTATTTAAGTTCCTAGTATGGCTCTTGAGCTTCCACTATGGAGACCTCCTACAGACGGCATTCGACACAACTTTGAGAAGAATATAAATATTAAGGATAGGGTGAGCTGATTCTCTCTTAGCGGCACACGAGCTTCCACCATGGTATTTAGCCACAGTAGATTCTCGATGCACCTCGAGAAAAATGCAAAGCAAAACTGCACAAATCTCCCCGAAGATATTAGAGTCTCCACCATGGTATTTAGCCACAGCAGATTCTCAACACACCCCGAGCGAACCGTACAGATGTAAAAACCCCATCAATGGCGTTTTAGCCTCCACCATAGTATTTAGTAAAGCAAAGATATCATTCGAACGTTATCAGATCTTTATCACTTTCATCCCCCAAGTTCATTCGACGACCAATTTGCAAAGGAGTTACTGCCTGGTGAGCTGATAAAATAATTTGTGAATCTATAACAATTGACGTCCATAAGATTTTTATATCTCCAATCACGCACTCGTCAGATTACGACCTCTGGAAGCCCTAAGGCCCGACAATTTTAATCAACTTGATTTATTTTTTTTGTAAAAATTTCATCAAACAACTTAAATAAGTGAGCAACATAATTTTATTAGTTTTTCTCGATAGCTTACAAGCCATGGCATAAGTCGTCAGGTTTCAGTAGCGCCGTTGATTATTACGCGCAGAACAAGGCACAGACCCCGAAAAAGTTGTTGGAGGCGGAAAAGTTCGCCTATTTTATATTCTTTATTTGAATTAAAATTAACGGCTTTTCCAGTTACAAATTAATATAATTATTACTGAGGTGAAAATTTGGCTAAAAATTGATTATTCTTGGGTCCAATTAAATTAGAGAAAATTGAAAAAAAACAAATGAAAAAATGTTTTTATGCAAAATCGATAAGTGCCAAAACGATGAACCTGCTAATGATAAACGTTTCTAATTGATGTGCTGTAGTAAATTGCACAAACTTGCAAGAAGAGAACGACAATATTAGGTTGAGATGGCCAGATTGAAGTTCAAATATTTAGACCTTACTAATAAAGAATGCAATATATAATTGAAATTATCAATTGAAAAATATCCAATTGAATAATGATCTTCTGATGGAGACATTAGCCTATAAAATGCATGGATATATATATCCATGATAAAATGTGATGTATCTTATCTTTTATGATTAGCGTATATTAAGTGCAGAGGAACGTTTTGCGCGTTGTTTGCTTGTTTATGTTATGACGTGGCCTTCTTTATTTATTTATCTAAAAAAATAAATAAACAAATTTCCCATGGCAAAAAATCGTTAAATAGAGAAAAAAAGTGTAAACTTTTGAGAAATAAAAAATGGTAAGTACCCGAAGTCATTCGACTGATTGAACAATATTTTAATTGCATCCAAGTTTTTTCATTTAACTAAAGTTTGCAACCCAATTAATTTTATAATGGAGTTCAATCAAATGCTTTTGTGAATGCACCGTATATTGTCATACTTATTTAATTTGATTTCACAAATCATAGGAAAACTATTTTAGGCATGTAGTTAAATTTTATAATTTTATAAAGCAATTAAATAAATTTGTCTGATAATTTGTGGAAGGTCGATTCTTCATTGAGCAGTTCGTTTTTTAGTGGTGGTCGTGGCTTGTCCAACAAAAGAAGCATGTCGATCAGTGTGCCATCAAACAGGTTACAGGATATATGTGCATGTGCATTAATCCAATGTAACGATAATATGGTTTTTGTGGGCTAATTATTTCTCTTTCTCTAATTTTAAAAGCAACTGCTTCAAAAATTCAACCTTTTTTTCTTTTTTTTCCTACCCGTTATCAGTCCAAAATTTCCATTTCAATATGAAGGAGTACCGCAGCTTACAGGGCAGATTGTTAACTGGTTTCCTCAACATCATACCACCCGTTTTTGAATTTTTAAACCATTCTACTCAGTGGCGAATTTATGTGGGATGCAAGGGCTGTTATCAATGGTCTTCAACCATTTTTTTGCAGTTTTTTTAAATTTAGCCAAAATATATTGTTTAAATATTATTTAAACATAAAAGCCCTTTTTTTTTATTTATGAATTAAAATTTATTAAACCTCATTCCGTCCGGCTAAAAATTTTGAAATTATTTCGACGTTCGTTTCGGAAACTTCACCACACCTTAATTTGCTAGCCTGTTGAAAACCTGCATTCAGGCCGGGAACTCGGGTTGGGGCAAACATGAAAATTCATCTACATGCCTTATCAACGTGTATATTGGTATTTTGATTAATAAAAAAACATTTTAATAAGAAACGTATTGTATTTAAATTAAAAAAGTGCGTTTACACAACAGCTTACTGCAGTAGCATAATAATTAGGATACTCTGAGTTTCGGTCCTCCCCCACCCTGGCAAATACGATAGTTCCGCCCCTGCTTGTATTAATTTATTGTACCGTAAAAAGTTATTGCAATCAAATTTAAATAAAAGTGTTTTTCATGGTTATTGTGATATTTATTGAAAAATTGCAATATTGTTTAATTATTATTTAAGCAAGCTGCGGTTACTCCATATTGAAATGAACAATTTATTGAAACATTGCAGTGAATGAGGTACACTGGCATGTGCACCTAATTTGAAAAATCTTTCAAAGGCAAAATTCTGCAGGGCATTTCACTCGAACGACTTATTTTTATGTAATATTATTAATAATAATTATTATAAAAATTTTAACTGAAAAACCAAAAGGTCGGAGATAATTTCGCGGTTGAGTGTGAATGATCCAGTAGATCTTCTTGCGAAGAAGTTGTTCAGGTTCAACATTAAAATCTACGAACGCGTCCAAACCATACTGTAAGTCCCGTAGAGAAGTTTTTATGGTCGATTTCGAATTGATATTCTATTATTGGAAACATTGCAATGAAATGAACAACTGGCTTGTGTACCTAATTTGACTTTTTTTATGACTCAATTTTTCTAAAGCTTTCAAAACTGTTTTATAATTTTAAATCCTTTTTCATCATACCGCTTTATTATAAATCTTGGTTACATTTTGCTGATCAATATGACATTATGACATAGACAACTAGACATAATGTCATGTTTATATTTTATATGATTAATTTTCTTGGACACGAAAAAATGTCAAGTTAGCAAAGAGTTAAATTGCGAAATGTCAGAAGTAACACTGACCAAGTGGCAAAAAAAGTGAAGTGAAGAGAGTTGTTTGCAGGTTGTATGAATGAAGTGTTACGACTTTGAAAAGATCAGATGCGTTCTTGTAAGCATTTCTTGAGAACTTCCACCTTCAGCACTAAATCAACTATCAGAGGAAATATCGACTGAACTGGCTGAACGTTGGTATCCAGATGTTATGAGATGGATTTGTAATCTAAGTTTATGACAGTACAAATTGAAACACATTAAGCCGATTGAAATTTTGTATGGATGACGCACCGTCATTAGAAGCTTGATCAGTTTTTTATGATTTAACGTTACAAACCAACATTGTTGAGAATGTTGTAGAACGAAATAAAAAAATTTGGCAGAAAGTTCTTAAAACGCTTCGAGTTGAGGTACCGAAAGAAGAAAAGAAGGAGGCAGCAGCTGTTGGCCATCCGACGGAGCATCCAATCATCGAGAATGCCCTTCAGATCAAGAACTCGTATGCTTCTCAATTTTTTATTAATTTATCAAAAATTAAATTACAATAAATAAATAAATTTCTATTAATTATTCAACAACGATCTCCCAAAAATTGTTTGAAAAATACTATATGAAATAAATTTTCAATAATTACTCGACGAATTTTACAAATCTGCTTCCACTTTTCAGGTATTTTGAGCTCATTTCGCAAAAAAAGAACCTTTTAACCACGGATTTGTTCCAGAGTAATGCAAAAGAAATCATATTATTTGATTATTGAATTTGAAACAATTTTGTAACACCCTCAAATAGTACTTTTTCAATTATCTTCAAATCATCCATTCATCTTCGAGTTCTAAATCTTTATACTTTGAAGAACATTATTTTAATATACCTAAGTACTCTTAACAAGAATGAAATGTTAACGGTAGAATGGAACATGGATTGCGCGTAAAAGTTTCGTAGCAGCACCAATAACAACAGAAAATAACAACGACAACACTTCTCAACGTTCGTCAGAGCTGTGAAACCTGTGTAACTAATTTTTAAAAAATCTAGGTTTTTTAAACAAAATTAAATTTTTAAAAATGTTGAAATTTTAGGTTTTTAAAAAATTTAAAAAACAAAATTTTATAAGTAATTTTGTTTTATTAAATTTAACAATGGGAATTAAATCTAGTGAAAATAAATGCTCCGAAAATGAAAATAAAAGTTAGGGAAATTGATTATTGAAATATGAAAGTTTGACAGTGATAATTTTTTACAGAACAATTTCTTTTTTAATATTTTATATTAAATTTAAGAATCTAGCGAGGAATGCGCGCTATAAAACAGAATAGAAAAATAAAACTGTGAAAATTGATCATTGAAATTTGACAATTATTTAGAAAAATTTATTTAAAATAGTTTTGTTAAAATATCAATATAAATTTTTCAATTAAACTTTGTGAATCAAGGGATGCAAATTTTTTTGACCAGTTTATAAAATCTAAAAAACCTAAGCGTTCAAATTACCCATAGAACCATAAAGAACCTGAAAACCTAAAATAAAAATTAAAAAACCTAGGTTATCAACAACTCTGGACTATCATTCTAAAACTTTTACATCACATTTACCCTAGTTGAACAAGCAGGAACTCAGCTGAATGAATGAATGGGACAGCGGGTCACGCACATTTACAACATCAAATTTTATTTTTCAAACAAATCCTCGTATAAAACTTAGCATGCCTTAATAACAATTCATAATAAACGCTTACAAACAACAAAATTAGAATGTAATTGTATACACGTATATATATATATATATATATATATATATATATATATATATATATATATATATATATATATATATATATATATATATATGTAATATATATATATATAAAACCTTCTATATATATATAAATATGCATTTCAATCATTTTGCCAAAAAAAAAAAAAAAATATTACACCATCTAAAATTAACGATTAAAGGTGAAACGCAGAAGTGCATATATACAGAAACAACGCGCTTACATACACACACATACATACATATACAGATATGATCCCTATCTGTGTGTGTGTTTGTTTGTGCGTGTGTGTGAGCATGTGTATGTATATGTGTGCGTGTGCGGGTATGAAGTGACCATGCCAGGCAGGCAATAAGCACTTTTCAACGAACTAACAATTGAAATGCAATCCTATTAATAATCCTGTTAAAGTTCTCTTCAAATCTTCAAAATTTGCAATGTGACTTGCAAACAAACCTGTTGTGACTTGTATTCATGTAGAGTTATAAAAGTGCAAATTCTTTAACTTATTAAACTCAAAATATTTCTTAAAACAAAGTTTTTCTTCGGATAATAATTTTATCCAAATATGTTGCATTATTTGTAATTATAAATTTAATAAATATTTTATTATTGTCGATAATAAGTTACGGTGGATGTAGTTAATAGACTAATAATTCATTGATAAAGAGCGTTCATTGAGATACTGCTGCGAAGTTTCTGAAAATAAATAACATAAATTAAAAGCTGAATACCATCTTATTTGAGGATTTTCAAAAACGTAGTTGAAACATAATTTTGAGCACATTTTTGGAATATTTTAGATTCGGTAGTGAAATTATATAAATCTTGATTAAGGAATTAATTTGATTCTTATTCACGAAGCTTGTTTGCATCGGGTTGAGGACCTCAGACATATGCCTTCGGCTTTTTCAATTTTGTCTTTTTCCATGTAACCCAATGTTCCTGGAGGTTTGAAGCCGATTGAACTGTCCACTTTGACGATGCACTTGTGTCTGCTGATCATCCTTCTAATGCCACAAACACTCACCCAGTCAACTTTGCAGCGAAGAATCTTGCTGAATGTTTCTCGAAATAGTCTGTTGAACACCGTGTAGACCAGAGGATTGATTGTGCTTGACAAGTATCCTAACCACAGAAAAAAACTGAACGCGTCTGCGTTTATGGCGGGATTCGAATTTTGTGAGTATTCTGTCTGTACTGAAGTTGAAGTACCAGTGGTTATGAACATGTAGAAAGTGAACGAACGAGCAAACCACTTAGTAGTGGTGATTTCAAAAGTGTGGTTGTTTGATGAAGGATTTGTCTTTATGGGATTTTCTCTGTTGAACGACAACAGTGCTGTGAAGACATTCGCAATAAAAAATGGTGACCACGAGAAGAAAAAAATAATAAACATAGCGGTAAGAATTTTTACGGCTTTCCTCTCCGTTTTCACCGACTGCACTTGTTTTGCTTCTCTTTTGGTTCGCATGATTCCAGCTACGATAAATGCGGCTCCATGTTTTCTTACTAGCTGTCGAAATTTCAAACCATTCGATGGTTGTCTGTCGGTTTGATTTGCTGTACATTCGTTGGCAGATGAATTTTCAACGTTTGATGAGAGTTGTGTTGTCGTTTGGTCTGCATTTTGTCTTTTGGATATTTCCGCTGGCGATGATGTTTCTTTCATTACATTATCCTCTATAGATGGTTTTTTGATGCATATTTGAGGTCTGGAGCGCATTTTCTCATCAGAATGTAAATTTTTTTGGATGTTTAAAAACGATTCACTGAGGGACATTTTCGTGAAGAATTGAGCGGAATTCAGATTGTAGTCTGTCGTGGAGTGTCGGTGGTGCAATTTGTTCGAACTTTCAAAGTTTTCAGGCGCTAACTGGTAAAATAAAGATTCTGAAGCTTCTTGACTGTTTAATATTTCATAATTAGATCTAGAAAAAAGCAACTTGACAAGTGATTTTGTTTTTCGCTTAGTGGAGTGATGTAATCTTTCTTTATTAAAAACTTTCAAAGCATCAACAAAAGGAAAAGTGAATGATCGACATAAGTCTTGATTATTTTCTTTTTTCATGTTTACAACAGTTGTATTAGGAACTTCAAAATTATTTTTGTGGCGTGTCCTGCATTCCATCAAAGATACGGACGCCTGTTGTTGACTTGCAATGAAGGATTCGTTGAAAACACAGCTTATGCTGGTTTCTGAATTTTTTACAAAACTGATGCAGTGTTGACTTGCATGATCAGTACATACGTTCTCAACTTTAACTGTTGAAATGTGATTTTTATTTTGGTTCAAATCATGAAAGTTCTTCTTGCTGGACAGCGGCAACTCTGATGATTCAACGGGTGTTGCTTGTTTTATTGATCCGGCGATCAAAGTCCGTGGAGATCTTGTTGAAATGTTTTTGTAGATGTTTTTATCAAAAATTGATTTGATATGTGTTTTGTATAAATTGTTGTTAGCTTTAGTGACATCAAGCCATTTGGAAATTCCAGCCGATTGAATGATGATTCGATCAAATGTTTTACTATATTTTTCTTCTATAGTCTTGGGAACCATAATAAATCTAGAAGATTTGGTTGATGTTTTGTGGTTGACGAATGGTTTAGAAATTGATAGTTGATTAGATTGGCTTAAAAAAATTTTCTCACTAATATTTTCTTTATTTGATACTATTTGGTGAATTTTGTTCGGTTTGTTCTCAGGTCCCGGTTCATTTGTTTTTTTACTTTCAGGTTTTTTACCCTCTGTTTTGTTGGTTATTCTTCTGTATTTTTGTTTAGATGATAATCGTCTTAAACCTAATTTGGTGGCTTGTTTGTTCAGCAACCTGACGGTGAGAGTGAGGGCCAGGATCATGCCCAATAATGGTCCAAAGAATGCTACCAACGATCCGTATATCATAAAGTTGGGATTGGATATCATGCATTTGCCGTTCTTCAAGATGTCCTCTGGAGTGAGGATTCCAAGCACAATCAACGGACTTGCGATGCTGAATGATGCCAGCCAAACTAGCAGCAGACGAGTTGTCACACAAACCCTGCAAAAATTAAAAGATTTTGTAATCATTTTGAAAATAATTATTTCAAATAATATATTACAAAATTCAACTCAGAAAATTATGAAAAATGTGAAACAATATTTTATTGTACTTAGATATTTTGCGCAACGCCATGCATAATATGCCAAATTTTTATCCATTAACGATAACTTGAACAAATAGAGTTATGATTTAATTTGATAGTAAAATTATTTTTCCAGCATTTGATGGGACACGATAACACTGGTAGCAAAATAATTTAGCCCACATGGTACAAAGAAATGTGTTTGTAAGAAATCAATTAAAAGCGTCATAAAAATGTGCAACATAAAAATATTACCTTTAATCTCATCAAACTATCATCATTCACTTTAATTTTGTTTTAAATTTCGTAACGCTGTTATGAATAACAATTTGTCTGATTATATAAAAAATGGTGATGCAATAAAAGTAAAGATAATAATGCATGACACGTGTGTGGATTGGAATGTAAGAATATTTTTTCTTGAAGAATTATTTCCCATTTTGAAAATATTCAAAAGTTTTTAAGAAGCGCTTTGACAACTTTAAGCCATTTCCTTGGCTCGTGACGTAACTGAAAAGAGAGAGCTGAACTTAAGACGTGCATACTTGCACGAAGGAGTGCTTCAATTAATATCTTCCTGCAAGATGTATGCATGCGTTTTCAGTAAAGGAATGAGTTTCCGTGTTTCGATCCGGCATGCGATTGAATGCGTTTTCTACGGCGTGTGTGACTGTCTAATTTGTCGCGAGTCCCATAAAAATGGATGATCTAAATTTTCCAATTGTATTAATCTGAAAAAATCAAATCTAACAAAAAAACTTATCGTTTCGAAGAGTAGTTGGAACTAAAAAATACTAACATGAAAACTAAGAGATGTAGCAACCTTAAAAAAGAACAACAACATCATTATCCGGAAAGCAGATAAATCCCCCGTGCATGTGATCATTAAAAAGACAAGGATGACAATAACAATAGAATTAACGACATCACTGCAGGCACAAGCAAATTCACGGAAATCAACGCTGACCAACTCCAAAACTAAAATCACCATTAAACAACACCGTAGAATAATAAGCAAAATAACAAAACAAAAAACAACATTAACAAGTGATTGCCATCAAGGACCACAAAAACATACAACGCCAATAATCTTTCGTGATCGTTAATTAGCCAGACTACCGCCATCGCATACCCTGTGGCTGAAAGGCTCAACGAAACGATTGAACCGTATACCCCAAACAACTTTAATCTTAAATCGAGCAGTGTTCCTGGAGGTAAAATCCACAACAAAGCCTTCCCCGATTACTGCAAGAGGATCTGCTGACGTTGAGTCTTTGTTGTGGAGTCAATATAAAAATGGATGGACAGATTTTACAAATCTCATTAGACAAAGACCAAAGAAGAATTAGAACAATTAATACAAAAATGCACCATGAAAATGCCAAGCAACGGACCTGGCAATACACTAAATAAACAAATAGATGGACTAGCAATGAGTTCTCTTTTGGAAGTACTTCTTGCGAATTTTAGTCAGACACATAAAAGGAGAGTCGCTGTTTGTAGATGAACGAAAACTAAAACCCCAAGTAGGTACATTGCCGACACGTGGGCGACATTCCCATTGCATAGCAGACGATCAATGAATTGAAAACCACCCGTAGAAACGTCTGCACCGGTTTCCCGGCTCTCTAAAGCTGATGTTTGTATTGTTTTTAGCCAAAAGATTGCTCGTGGTATGTTTCTTGTTGGGCGTTTTAAATAATAATTGGTGTACACTTACGTGCATGATATATATTTGATTTTTTTTAACAGAAAGTCAGACGAATGCTTTTGTAATAGAACAGTAAAACCTACAAATGCATCAGCAAGCGTACATTTCTGTGTGCGTGCGTGTGTGTGTGTGTGCCTGTGTGTGCACAAATGTGTGTAATTATAAAAGTATTGCAAATTTTCCTACAAAAATGGATCAAAATGCCTTTCATCGAAACCAAATGAAAATTGAAATCACGAATTTAAAGACAAATTATTATAGAGATGAAGTTACAAAATCGTGTTTCATAGTTTTGACTTCATCGTATTGTTCATCATCAATTTTGCCTGGTTGTACATCATCCTAGATTCTTCATTCTGTCCTACTTAAGTCGTTCATCATTTTTGCTTGCCCGAAGATTACAGCCCACCAAACATTCATTATTCTTATACATTTCACGTTCATCAGTCCTATAACATTCACATTCGACATTCCTATGCATGCATTCACGTTCATTAATCTTGCATACTTATGCTGATTATTCTTATGTATCTGCTTATTTCCTTTAATTCCCTTACACATAAAACGAGCGTAATAATAATTTTTAGACACACAAAAAAACGTGATGTTTATTGAAGCCTTCTATTTTACCAGCGGACTGAGTTGGTCAGACGGAGAGCAGTGTTTGCATTGAATGCGATGTTTACGACTTTCCAGAACAAATTTATTCATTTATTCTTAGCTGATGCTTTATGCTAACCCAATTCGACCTGTGTTTGCGATTTATAATTTCAAATGAAATTTGTATCAGTAGCGTTGATTACTGCTGCTGGAATGTATGATATTTGGATTTCAGCAGACGTACAAATTTGATATTTTTGAAGCTTATTGATTGCCATTTTTGGATTGCAACATTTCTTCACGACAATCACCGTTAACTTAAAAAACATTTCCAAAACGGATTTATTTTCGCAATAAAAAAGTTGGCAACAATTTTTTGAAGAAGAACAAATGAATATTTTTGCGCATGAGAATTTCTATGACCGTTAGGCAGATATATTTCTAAAATTACGTTGTGCTGGCACTCTTATTGACGGACCACAAACCAGGAATTAATGAAATAAAAAACTGGCTCGTAAAGTAAGGCAGGGGAAAATAGCAGGAGTTACATGGTGCAGCCAGTCTAATAGGAGGAGGATCTATTTCACATTTAGTTGGCGAAGTCTGCATGATTGCAATCCCACAACAATTTCGGTCTTTTTTTTTACTTTACAATAAATAAATTGAAAAAAAAGAAACAGATCGTCATAAAAAAACTATTTATGTATATTTTAAATTTGAATTTGAACATTTCATGAGATGTAGTAAAAGAGAAACAAACTTATGAGAACAAAATATTTTGGCAAAATATCAGGCGAGCAAGTACTTAACATACATACATGAACATGAACATCAATGAATTAAACATCCAGCAAACAACAGACGAGCACTGCAAATCATCTCCAGCAGCAGCAAAACTAACATCCAACAGTATACAAGCAAAAATGCACATTTAACAATGACAGAGTTGAATATTTTTCATTACGACACATTTCAATCACATCACCCTTAGTCTTTGTACGACAGTATTCCAATCCGATCTAACTTTAATGTTCTGCCACAAATTCTTAATTCCGATTAGTAGTAGGTAATTATACATCTCAACTACTATACAGCAGATGATACTAACAATGGAATGCCAAAATAAAATATATTGTAAAACTCTAACTTTTTTACCATTTAAAAAGAGCAGCAAAACCTATTCAAGCATTTTAAAATTTAAATTAAAGTGAATTAAAGAAAAGAATAACGGTCCAATTTTCTCCTGCTGAATGAAACTGCATCCTTCAATGGGAAAATTGATTAGGAAGAGCTTCGGCCACGCTCCACTGAACATCAAAACTACAGCGGGCCAGTGGACGAGCTTGCATCAACACTCTTCACGCACGTGCTTCGCTCGTCTACTGTCGTCTGTCCCACTGCTGGCAGCGTATGTTAGTTTAACACCTTTTAAAAAATGTTTTGTGATTTCCTGAACGCTTGAATCTGATTGCACTTTGATGTAATTCAAAATATTTTTATATTCAAAATATTCAAATTTTCAGCAGAATTTCTTGAACCGAAGAAAATAGCTGGCGTGGATGTCAGTTGGGCAACTCACGTGCTACACAAGATTTGATTTGACTTGTTCAATTTGTTTTAAACTAGAGAAATGATGATCAAATAAATTAATTAAATAATTTTTAATGCCATTTAAAACTAAGTAATTCAGAAGACGTCATACGAATTTTACAGACAAGTCCGTTGGTCGGTCAGCCT